TCGAACCTGTTGTTCCAGAGGCGGACCGACGCCATAAACTTCTCAGTCGCTTCGAGCTCGCGCTCTCGACCAAAAAGGGTCAGGACGAACTCGACGCCGGCGTTGCTGCCGAGCTTGGAGCCCCTGCGCTTGGAAGCCTGAAGCATGGGGGCCTCGCAGCGCTTGAGCAGCTTGCGGAGTTTGACGGTTAGGCAGTTGCCCGAGTCGATAAAGCCCTCAACCATTTTACAGACATCCTTCTGGCAGATGGACGGGATAATGTCGTCGGCGCGCTTGACCTTGCCCGAAATCTCAATGAGGAGGAGCCAAAGATCTCCGGCCATCTGCGAAATGGGGTGACCCATTCCGTGCTTGTAAATGGTCCAATCATAAATCCACTTGCCCAGCGAGTTAGCGTCGAAGACGCTCCCGAGCAGCAGGATGGGCTGCTCCGTAGGATCCCAATGGGTTAACGAATATCCGTCGGAATTTGGTGCTTCCTGGCATCCTCCTCGGTCGCAGCCCCGTGGGGCTTGGGCTCGGGCGGCCTCATTTCCGACGTTGAGTCCCGGCGGGGACTCTTTCGGGGCTTTGACAAGTTCCGGCGGTGTTGACTCCTTCGAGGCCCTGACGTCGGGTGCCGGCGTCTCGCTTGCGGTGCAGGCTCTTCGGGTACATGTTCGTACACATTCCATTCTTTACAAACCTAACCGTGATAATAGCAATTAATATATTACTGATTTACCATAGCAAATTTGCGAAAACTTACATCGCAAGGTTGAATGCGGACCCTCGTACCGTACAAGCCTTTTGCAGTGTAGCGTGGCGACGGCAGGTCCATAGCAGTCGCTGTTGGCGTGAAAAGACCGCACGGAGCAGAATGTGTTTATCGCGGGAGTGCACTCGTTGATTGCTTTGAAGGGAGCAGCAACGGAAAAACGGGAGGCTGCCATCGCACACGCCTTATCGGTTCTGGCGAGCCTACCGACACCCAGTAGCCGGCGCGACAATACGCGACGCGATCACCAAAACGGTATTTAAAAAGCATGCCCCTTGGCAATCGCTGTTATAAACACGACAAAAGGAATGATTGGCGATGGGAAGTCGAGCAACAGCAGGTAAGGGGTACAGTGCGATGTTTCAGGAGTTGCACCGTCGTCAAACGTGAAAGGGGGCAGCCAACACATCATCCAACTTTTCCGATGGGGTTAGCTGTTAGTCGCCCCCACCCCTTTCACATAGGTACTTTGGACGCGCTGCCGAGTCCTGGGCGTGAATCACTTATTTCCAATCAGAATTGGCCACTGCCACACGCGTATAGTGGCCCACCCCTGTTGACGACCTGCTAAAGCTGCGCGGCCGCAGGTAAGCCCAGCCATCTCCCCTAAAGGGGGCTGGGGCTGCAGACTCGCCGATGTGAGATGCGGAGTGGGCGGAGG